TGGTTTACTCCCTGTGTTGGTTACTTTTCTCACTGCTGGGACAAAATACCTGACACTCAAAGTTAAGGAAGGAAAGATTTATTTAGCTCACAGTTTGTGGAGGTTTCAGTCCATAATCAGCTGGCTCCAAGGATGGCTGGCAGGGCACAGGGGCAAAAGTTTAAGGTGGCAGAAGACAGCAAAAGCAGCAATAGCAAAAGGTGGGGGGGAACAAGCCTCTTTTCCTCCCTTACACTGTAAGCAGGCCCCCCCTCCCCCAGGGCAGGTGCAGCGCTCACACCATCTTCCTGCCCTCCTCTTGCACAGGATGAGGAGGTACAAAGTTACGACCCTGCCCCCTGCTGAGTCACTTGGTTAAACTTCTAAACTTCTCAAGCTGACACAATGTACCAACCATTACACTCCCTTTCCAGGTAGGTCCAAGTCCTGACCTTCCTCTATAGGCAGGCTCTAGTTTCTCCTTTCCAGTGTTGCCACTGAGAAGTCTGAACACCATGTGTTACTGTCTCATTCCTAATTATTTACCTGTGAGCTGCTTCTTTCTGCAGTTACAGAATCATCTCTTTAATGTGTAGCACACAATTTCATAACCATACACATTGGTATTGGACAGGAGAAAGTCATATTTTCAGGCCTGGAAAAGCTTTTTGTATTCATTTTCCTCCCTCTTTCCTCGTGGACTAACCTCCTTGTGTTCTCTCGTTTTCTGTGTTCTCGTCTTTTGGTTCTGCTTTCTAGACTACCCCAACGTTATCTCCAACCTTTCCACTGCATTTTTAAGACTACTGATATATTTACTGTAAGAGCTGTCTCTTTTATTCTATGAGTGCTTCTTTGTGGAGTCCCAATTCTTGCTTTGTGGATTAATAAAATACTTTCTTTAAATATATTTTCTTATTTCTACATGGGTTTTTCATTACTTTATCTGTTTTCATACTGGGGGCTTTCTTCAAATGTCTGGCTAGCCATAGCTACCTGTACATATCTAAGACCTGGTATTAAAAGGCTGGCTGGAAGTTCTCTCTGATGGTGGATCTCATTATGGATTCTGGCTTACCTATTTCACTTGGGGCTTAATTGCACAAGCTATCAACTTTCCCCTTGAGCAGGTTAGCGTCCCTAGAAAGGGAATCTTGCATTTTTCTTCCTAGGAGCTATGTAAGCCACCCTATAAATGGGGGATCTCACCAACCAATATTTAGACTGCTCTGTTTTCAATATAATACTCCCAATCCTGTCCTGGTGAACTGGCTCTTCAAAAAGAGAAAATGTTTGAAAGCCTGTTTTAGTGTCTGCCATTTACCTTCATGTTAAATATTCCCATCAGGTCAGTTTCAAGCCCACATTCTTTCACAGCCAAGCCACAAGCTTCCTCAGTCTCCCGCGGCCAGCTCTCATCACTGCAAGCTGTCCCCGCACACCCTGCGCACCTCCCAGCCTCAGCGGGCTCTCAGACTCCCCACCATAGCCCCCGCCCCACCATCTTCAGCTAAGTAGGAGGGGCAGGGCCTCTTTGTGCAGGGTAGGGAAGACAATCAGGGTGGCAGTGGCCTCTTAGATAGAGCGCCCAGTTTGGGGCTTCCACTGCAAACCCTCCTTCTCGACCCACATGGTAGCAGTTCCTGACTCTGATAGTTTTATTTGTCTATTTGTTTTGTTGTGTTGTGCTGGGGATTGAACCTAGGATCTTAAGTATGTTAGGCAAGGGTTCTATCACTGAGCCACATCTCTAGCCACCATTTCTGCATGTTTGACTTATATTTCTATTTTAGTTTATGTGAAAAATAAATTACCCATTGTCCATCTGGTTCTCACTTTTAAAACTTTATTTTTATTATTTTCTCTCCCATTTCCTTGTCATTGTGGACTTATTAATGTCATTTTATAGCAGTTTCAGAAGGAGGCAGAAGTGGATGTGGGTCAGTCCCACAGCACTGTTTAACCAGAGCGTGGACCAGATCCTATCTAAACTGGGGAAGAGTGTAAGTGCACTCACCACTCACCATTCATTCCTTTAATACAACTTGATATGCCTCCATGTGTGCTGGGCACTATTTTATTGTCCTATGCTACATCGGTGACTATGTTGCTGTCCTCATGGAGTTTGTATTCTCCCAGTAAATTATTTGGTACTATTTGCAACTGAATTAACAAATCTGAACTCCATCTGTGAAAAAAAGGATATTGTGCAAGGTCAAAATAAAACCATCTGTTCATGCTTCAATCTACAAAAACCTGAGTAAACTCTGCTGGTTAAGACTTATTAAGGTTATACCTACAGGAATAAACTAAGTAAATTTTTATTCTTAATACTATGACTATAGGACGATAACTATGCTTGTAAATACGTTTAATTCACAGTAGAAAATGTTTTCTATTGTGAGAATTTAGGTCTCTGTGCTAAGATTTACTACTAAAAAGTAAGAGGACAGTGTGACTGCAGAGCAATGAAGAAACAGCTGGCCATGACCAAGAGTAATGACCCTTTCAGTACAGGCCGAATCAGAATGCTCCTCAAGAAAACTGCATTCCCGCGCAGCCCAACCCTTAGCAAGAGTCTGACACTCATATTTTGTTATGCTATATATCAGGGGCTCGCAGACACCAGTCTGCAGACAAGTGTTGATCCATAACAAGAGTTCCACTAGTCCGTGACAAAAAAATGTCAATATAAGGTCAACAGATGACTTTTCTTACAAAGAACTGTCCTTTATTATGAGATTATATCCTTAACATATTTTTGATGTTCTTTTATAAAATAATAGTGATGACAGATGGTATTTTAATGTCCTTACTTATCAAACTAAAGCAACAATCCTATTTTTGATGATACCTTGAAATACTACTATATGAAATGTAGTTTATATACTATCAAACAGCAGGTAATAACTGTGATAATTAAAGAGAAAGGCATCTGAAGTACCTGAGATATTGGTAGTCATAGTTAAAAAGAACGTAGGACCATATTTACAGCTATTGTTAACTCAAAGAAAAACATAACTATATATTCATGGCTACGTTAGGCTCTGTAAAATTCAATACATAAGCATTGCACTTAGAGCTCATGAGGAGGTAATTTAAAAGCTGTATGTAGTCTTAGTATGGCTGATCTAACCAAATCGAAAGCTCTCACATATCTAGGAAAAAATATCTTAATGATACAGTGTTGTAGACCTAGTGCTGGCTTAGAAATAGGACAAAAATCTAATGCCAGTTTGCCACTAATTATGAGTGAATAACATTGACTAATCCTTGAATAACATTGCTTGCACTTTCTAGGTCTCTATTTCACCATGAAATGGTTGGATTAGCCAATCTCTAATATATTGCTCACCCTAAAATATCTACGTTCCAACTCCTTTATGTGGATTAGCAGATGCTCTTTATGACAGCTACTAATAAAGAATTTGGATACATTATGTGTTTCTTTAGAGAGGGCTCTAAAAAAATTCTCTCTCTCTGTCTCTCTCATACATCTTTGTATTTTCCATGTAGTGCCTGGTTCTCTGCACAGGGGGAAATACATAGAGCAACCCAACAAATGTGCAGCCAACCTGCAGCAGCATCACAAAGGAGATCAGGCTGGATCCAGGGCATCAGAGGGTAGAACGGCCAGCAGCGAAGAACCAAGAGTAGGAGGCAACACACAAGACGATGCCAGAGCTGAGGCTCCAAGCCTCCCACGCGTGCTCCAGGTCCCATCAGACAACTTATACAACAAATTCAAAGATACACATTGAGGAAGCTGACACGGTCCCTACTGACGATGATGAACATAAATATCAAGGAAGCTGACACCGTCCCTACTGACGACGATGTACCAGTGAGGTCTAGGTGCTAGCAGTCCCTCCATGGGGCAGGAGGTTGTGCCTTTCATGAGAAATGGTCAGCTTTGTCCTGCTCCCCGGTACCAAGAACCTCTCAGAGATGCAGAAGTATCTTCCGTTGGCCACTCTACTGCACATGCCCCAGGTCCTCCTGAGTGGGACATTCCAGACCTTGGCCCACGGCACTTATGGCAGTTCCTGCCCCTCTTCTGGTCTCTGTGTTCCTTCATGTGGGCCAAGAACCACTGAGGCTCTGTCTTGTGCACCCTTCCAGGGCCATCTGGTGCTGGAACAAGCATACGGTACTTCGAGCCTTGCTCCTCAGTGTTCCTCCTTGACATTTTTAGGCCAGAATTTGGCATCATCTACCTGTTCTTCATAAGCTTCCAAACCTAAAAAACATGCCACGCTCCTCCATGTGAACTTCCCACATTTGGTCTACTGGCATCACCAGAGTGGACCTTCTCTGTACTACAGCATCCCATGCATCCATCCAAGGAACAGGGCAGCAGGCTCCACTTCCTGTGCCTCAGTCTTCCAAAGGATTTTCCCATAGACTCAGCTTCATCCCCCTCCATTAGCATCTCCGTCTTAACACTACACTCCCAAAATATCGGTGACCATCCTGTCTTCCCCTTCCCAACCACTTTTTATGTATACTGGTAAGAGGAAATGGGGTCACTGCAGTAACAATGCCAGTTCTGTTACACTCCCGTAAAGACAGAGCTGCCCCCAAACTTCTAAGAGCTAGCTAACTGCCCTTTTAAAATGTGGCTGACATTTTTACCTTCTAGTTTCAGTTTTAGACCTTGGCGACAATCCCAAGACAAAGAAAAACCCCCATTCAGTTGTCATAAAATGAAGTCAGATACTTGATAAAGCTTAATATTTAACTACCTACTTAAATATAAAAACAATGTTCATTACTTAAGACACTGATACTAAAATTTGATGAAAGAGTCTGTTACCTTACCCCTAAGCTTCTTTTTTTTTTTTTTTTTTATGCTGGGAATCAAACTTAGGACCTTGCCAGGGAGGCGCTTGTGCCACTGAGCTATATCCCAGGTCTCTCACCACTAAAATTCAAAATGACCTTGACAAAACTAGATGGAACAATACACCTATTCAGGGGACACTCATTAGACAAATATAATAAAACAATATGCATAAAACCTGATTGTTTTCTTTTAGCGCCTTCAATTCTGCTTCCATTTCAGTATTAGCTTGAATTTGTTGTTGAAGCAACTGCTGCATATGTTGAAAAGAAATGATGATATCCTTCAAAAATATATAAATATGGTGTATCAATTTTTAAAATGTTAATACAGTAGGATGTTTCTAAATTCATTTTTCATACATGTTTTCTAGTTTCTTAACCCATTATCTTTATAGTTTAATTTTAATATTTTATATTAAACTAATGGCACATTTTATAGTTTAATATCCAAAATAATCTCTGCTACATGATTTCCTACAAACACTATTCCCAACAATCACTTAAATATTAACTGTTCTTTAAATCCTAAGATTCAAAGATATTATTAAAGAACATGAAAAATTCAACACTAAAATAAACTTTTGTTGGCTTGCCACCCGCCAGATTCCAAATATATCTCTACTAAAATGTTATACAGGCTGTAATATAAAATGTTATAATGGACAAGATATCATGAAATACATAGAGGAAAAGCAGAAGAGAAAGAAAAATAGTTCTCTTTCACACAGTCTTTAAAAGACATGACAATTATAAACATCAAACAGATTAAAATGAGAAAATAATGTCCAAAAAAAGCATGCCCAATGTATAAATACACTTCAGTAATTACCTTTTAGGATACCACTAGTCTGAAAAAAGGAAAAAAATCCTCCATTTTTAAAAAACTATGTGTAAGTGACCAGCTAAAAATATACTTATGTCCACTCAATATCCTTTACTTACTACATGCCACACATTGACTTGGGTAGGCACGATTTCATTTATTATTTAATTTATTTATTTCCCACACTGTAGCTGATTTTTAAAAATAGTTACTGGATTCCAAAGTGTCTGACGATTGCTTACCTGTTTCTCTTCTTGAATACTGACAATCTCTTCATTAAGCTTCTTATTTAATTCCAATTCCTTAAAAATTTAAATAAAATCAAATTTGTTACATAAAATTTACCAAATTTTACAACTCAGTGGTCAATTTGAGTGCCATGACTTATTACTGCTCCACAGTACCCATGTTTATTTGTGGCTACAGTGAGCTGACAAAGATATAGGACCCAATAGAGAGTTAAAACTATGAATTTTCCATTGCTAATGGCAAAAATCAATTGTTAGAAGTAGATTCACCATACCTTGGCTTTTTACTACATATATTAAGTATGTAGTAATATATGTTCCTATGCATATTAACTCTATATTATGATAACTATGTATATTAGCTATATAACTAATATATATTTACTATGGTACTAAATTAATATTTTTACTGTACATTAAGGATACTAATTTACAAAGAAGGAACATTTTGTTATAATCCTGAAATTCCTGTAAATTTTAAAATATTTTAAAATATTAATTTTATAAACAAATTCATTTAAGTAAATACCATGTTGAGTCTTTCTTGAAGTTCTTCAAATTTCTGTTCTTTAATTGTCAGATTGATATTTTCTTCTCTCATCTTATATTCACATGTGACCTTGGACTTTATCAACTCTGAAGCTGCTTTTTTTAGTTCCTTAATATGAGAAACATAAACACAAGATTCACTGTAAATATTTCATAAAAGCAAGGAACTGTGCTGACAGTTTCAAAGCTCATCTGTTTTGTTTTTTGGAGACAGGGTCTTGCTATGTAGTTCAGGCTGACCCTGAAATCACTTGAGCCCAGGCTGGCCTCAAACTCACTGTGATCCTCCTGCCTCAGCCTTCTGAGTGCTGAGATTTCAGGCATGTACCACCACGCCTGACTCAAAGTCCATCTTTAAACACACCCACACACACCCACACACACATATGCATGCATGTATGCACAAACATGCACACAAGGCCAACTGCATGTGGGTAGAATGCATGACCTTGGAACTTAAGAGTGGACTAGCTAATAAGCCAGCAAACCAGAAGTAGGATGTTTTCATTTATTACTTATTCAATAAACGTCTGACATAAGATGATAATAAAGCATTCTAAATTCCCAAGTTCACTAGCATCTAAAAAAAATTACATAATTGCAATATAATGTGATGAGTGCTATATTGCAGGAATGTATAAGCATAAGGAAAGAAAGAGTTCAGTTGCACGCATCAAGAATCTCTTGCATGAAAATATGATATTTGAACTGAGCCTTTGAAGATAAGTTTGCAAAGAGGACAAAAAAGGAATAGACACCCAAGGCAAAATGTTCTGCATGCATAAAGGCATAGAAACATGAATGTATAGTATTTTTCAGGAAAACAGGAATAATATATGGCTGGAGCGAACATGTTTTCACATGGGAAGAAAGGCAATATTGGTATCTGTGGCTAGAAATATCTAGCAGGATTCAACAATTGAAAGCGGTATGTATCTTGTGGTTGTTGGGGATTTTTAACATGGACTGGCTTTGGGTTGTGCCCTGGAGTATGGTGGAGGACACTTCTGGGTGTGTCTCAGGGTCATGGAGGTGTGTCCTTGGGGTCCATGTCTGGCCCCTCACCCCTTCCTCCCTGGCTTTGTTCCCTTTGTGTGCTTCCCAGTTGCCATGAACTAAGCAGTTTTGTTCCACCACAAGGTTCTTGCCATGGAGCCAGCCAAACTGGACAAAAAGTTCTAAAACTGTGAGACAAGTAAGTTTTGGGTGTTGGGTATTGTATCCTAGTGGCAAAAAAACTAGTGCAGAAAATTGGTACCTGAGAAGTGAGGTCACTGTCATGACTAAACCTGACCACTTGGTTTAGAAGCCTTTGGAACTAATTTGCTTGAGAAGATTTGGAGATGCAAACTAGAGAAGCCAGAGAATGCTGTAAGCAGAGCCTGATAGGGGCTCTGGCTAGAGCTCATAAAACCAGAATGCTTACAGGAATGCAGACAGTAAAAGTCAGGCTCAGTAGGTTTCAGATGGGAACAGGGACTCCACTGGCAGTTGGACTAGCAGCCATGTATCTGACACTGTGGCAGAAAATTTGTCTGCATTTTGTCCTGAGACTTTGCAGGAGGCTTCATATTAAAGGTCGTGGATTAATTATGAAGTTCTTTTGGTTTCTTTTGTCACTGATTCACAATTTCATTGCACTATGGTCTGATAATATTCATGGGATAATTTCAATTCATTTGTGTTTACTTAAGCATGTTCTATGAGTTAGTATGTACTCTATTTTGGAGAACATCCCATGTACAGCTTAGAAGAGTGTATATTATGATATTGTAGGGTGGAACACTCTGTAGACATCTACTAAGTCCATTTGCTCATTTGGTTCAGTTCTAATATTCCATTGCTGATTTTTTGTCTAGTTGATCTGTCTTTTTGTGACAGTGGGTTATTTGGATCCCCAATAGATTTGTATTAGTGCTTATCTATTTTTCATGTCCATTAATATTGTTTTATATAGTTGAGTGTACTGGTATTTGTTGCATATATATTTATTATTGTTATCTCTTCCTCTTGGATGGTGCCCTTCACAAGGATGTAGTGACTTTATCTCTCTTAATCAGTGTTGGCTTGAAATTCACTTTGTCTGCAAATAGAATAGCCACCCTTGCTCTTTTCTGGGTTCCTGTCACATGGAATATTGATTTCCATCTTTTGACTTTCAGCCTATGAATTTCTTTTTTAATGAAATGTGGTTTTTGTATGCAGCATACTGTTTGATCTTGTTTCTTGATCCATTCTGCCAGTCTGGGTCTTTTGATTGGTGAATTGAGGCCATTAATGTTGATGGCTATAACTGGTATGTATTGTCATGTTATTTTCCTATTGTTGGTTCCTCTCCCCTCCCTTGTTTAACTGTTTGCCTTGCCTGGTGGATTCCTTCTGTTGGGGTTCACAGAGCTGTAGTCCTTGTTATCTCTTTCTAGAATTTCCTTCAAAACATTTTGGAGTGCTGGTTTGGTGGTCATAAATTTGCAGTGGATTAATTAATCTGGCAGAGAACACTATAAGACCCCTCAAAATTCAGGTTATGGCAATGGTTCTTCTGGCTTCTTTTAGTCAGATTTATAGTGACACTCAGGGGTAAAAGGTAACACAAAAAAAATTGAAAGACTTTAATTTTGGTCAAGAACCACATGTGAAGACCCAAAGAGGTGTAGTTGCTGGAGAGACTAGCACCATTAAAAAGAAATCAAGTATTTTGTTCAGGGACGAGAAGAAAGATGCCTCAAGGGCATCTTAGGAACTCGAGGGCATCCTAAGAATCAGCAAGACACCATTTATTCCAGGCTCAAGGGTGCAAAAGTGTAAACCTTTCATTTGAGAAAAAAGTCCCTGTGGCCCTTGCTCAAAAAAGGCCTCCTAAAGAATTACCTTCACAGGATTCATTTCACCATCCAAATACTCAGAGGTTGCTGCAGCCAAGGTACAAGGGGTCCTGGCTATTGCTCAAGCTAGTAGCAGATCTTGGCATTATCCATATGATGCAAGTTTTATCAGCATGCAGGTTGCAAGAATTGTGAGGTCATAGAGGCTTCCACCAATATTTCATAGGAAGGCCTGAAAAGCCAAGCAAGGAGCTCCTGCAAGGGCTGTGAGCGAAGCTGTGGGAATGAAGTTGAAGGTACAGTGGAAACCCCAGAAAGTCAGAGATGCCATGAATGTGGAACATTGGCCAAGAAAAGCTGTAGGCTGTGAGTGGACCCAGCCCAAGAGAGAAGCCACATGGGTTGCAACCAGCAAGGCCACAGGGATGGGGTACCCAAGCCCTTTGGAAGTTGTTTTATCATTATGTGCCTCAGATGCCAGACATGGAGCTACAGGACTTGATGTTTGTCCTTCTGGGTTTTTAGCCTTGTCTTGGCCCTTCTCTTCTATCCTCTTCTTCCTCCCTTTTAGAATGAGAATGTTTACCTTATGACACTGTACCTGGAGATGATGTACAGTGGTACCTTGGTTCATGAACTTAATTCATTCCACAGTTCTGGGGAAGACAGCTGCATAGGTTCATGTTGAGAAGATGGTCATGATCATGTTCATCATTTATGAACTCCGCAAATGAAGGCAAAATGCTTCTATTTGTGAACTGACTCGTTCACAAACAGATGCATTTGTGAATTGAGATATTACTTTAACTTTTTTTTTTTTTTTTTTTTTTTTTTCGTTATTAACAATTAACAGTTTTCCTTGAGTCTCAAAAGGGGCTTTCTGGGGATGTAGCTCAGCAGCACAAGTGCCTGCCTGGCAAGTGCAAGGTCCTGAATTCAATTCCTGGTACACCCCCGCCAAAAAAAAAAAACCAAACAAACAAACAAACAAAAAAATCAAAAGGGGGTTTCCCTTTGACTTTTGAAAAATACTGGAAATGTTGAGACTTTGGGAAGGGATTGTTGTGTTTCTAGTTATATTCAGCAAAGCTGTGTTATGTTAGGTAGAAGTAGAAGCTGAGTATTATCTTTATTGGGAGATTAAGAATGGTTTAAAAACATTTGTTTGTGTTACAAAGTGACAAGGGGTGGGACGCGTCAATGTGGACTGGCTTTGGGATCTGTCCCAGGGATTGGTGGAGCACACTTCTGGGTGTGTCTGGCTGGGTCATGGAGGTGTGACATTGGGGCCTGTGTCTGGTCCTTCAACTCTTCCTCTCCGGCACTGTTTCCCTGCTCTGCTTTCCACCTGCCATGAACTAAATGACTCTGCTCCACCACATCCTTCACCATAATGTTCTTGCCTTGAAGCCAGCTGACCTTGAACTCTCTGAAACTGTAAGCCAAATTAAATCTCTCCTCCTTTAACCAACTATTTGAATACAAGATGACCAAAAATTGCATATTTTTCATTAATTTTTGTAAGATAACGTAACAGAAAATATTAAAATGACAATTTTATCAAATTTATTCAGCTGGACATGGTAGCACGTGCCTGTAATCCTACCACTCAGGAGGATCACTGTGAATTCGCGGCCAGCCTAGGCTACATAAGCAAGTTCGAGGCCAGCCTGTACTACAACCAGGCTGTCTAAAAAAATATTATTCAGTAATTTTTCTGTGTAGGGTATATCTTAAAACATTCAATACACAATACAACATTACAATCTGGACAGCAGTATGTAGTCTCTTTCTGAATTCCTTTTGCATTATTGTCTTTCTTTGAACAACACACTTCACACTGTTGTATTGATCTTCTCTCTTTTCTGTGGGTAGTATAATTTCAATAAAATGTCTACTCATGAAATGTAATAGTGAAAATGTTGATGATGGACATCCTGGTTAGTGTTTTGCTATTCCTCATGTTTCAATTATTAGGTCTATTCGACATAATCTACATTGTAAATGATTTTTTGAACTCCCTTGTTTTGAATAAATAACAAGCAAGTTCCATACTGTTTGGTCCAGAAGGTGCACAAATATTATATAATAATATTTTTCTTTGCTTTTTGATTACAGGATAGCTTGTTAGATAATATGATGTTAATCAACTCTGTCAATACCACCCATAGAATTATTATAATCAGGGGCTGGGGATTTAGCTCAGTGGCAAAAGTGCCTGCCTGGCAAGCGCAAGGTCGTGAGTTCGGTTCCCGGTACCGGAGAAAAAAAAAAAAAAAAGAAT